ATTGTATGCACTCCCTTGTTGTGAACGGAAGTTGCATTCCACTTATTCATCTGTGTTAGCCTAGTAGATTTAAGTTTTACTCTAGTTGCAAATGCTTGTTTGTTTCTATCTTATTCCTTTGGCAAAATTACGAAATTATCTGCCATTCATCCACCACTAGCCACAGTTGCATTGCACTCATGCACATCATTAATTTGAGAGTGAAGCTTCAGTATTATAACTTTTATTTTGCTCAGATTTTCTTTTTGGTCCTACGGTCATGTAGGTGCAGTGTTATTCTCGAAGATGAGCAAAGTTCGTTCTGAAACTGTGTCCACTGAGAAGTGGAAGGTATATCTGGCCCAGAACCATTCTTATTGTGGCTCGCATTTTGTACTTTTGAATTTTGATAAAAATACAGCATTTTGTTCTGGGTCTCATTTTTGACATATGAGTATTGTTTAAAAATGTTTAAACTTAGAATTTTCTTGTGAAAGTTTGAACCTAGATTTCAATCAGTCTTTCGTGAATAGTTATAACTTAAAAAGCATGCATTGCTGAAGGAATTCTATTCTGTATGATCTCTGCAACGGGGAAAGCATTATGCCAATTGATTTCCCTTGAAGAAAAAAACATATATGTGTTGAAGCGTCTTTGCTATTTATTGGCAGGAGCTCATGAAAAACGTACAGATATAATATTATGAAAACATGAATGCTCATGCTACTCTATTCAAATTGACAATCCTTTCGTACAGGTTGCCAGTTTAGCTGCTGTCCCACTGATTTGTTTCTCGTCTTCTGCTATACTTGCACTTGTGACCAATGTTCCAGTAAGTTCATTTTTTACAATATAGTCAATGTAAATCCATGAGTTCTTAGTCCATTTTTAAGTGACTTACAATTTTCCATATTTTTTGTTGCAGGTGCTTTTGTATTGGCACTCGACCGATGTGGACATCATCAACAATGCTGTTATTTTGTTTATATATTACTTCATAGGTCTCTTTATTTTCCTTTATGCCTAGAAATAGCACACCTGTTGTCTCATCTACATTCTTTTACTAATGCAATTTGTGTTTCCATTGCCATTTATACTCAAAAGTGGGTGTTTTTGGTATTAAGCGTTGTTTTCTATGCATTTTGCCATCAGGCATATGTGCATATGCTTCTAGTCCAGATGGTGTGTGCCTTTTTTCCTTGCATCCATATTCCCACAGTCCCACCTGCAAGCATTCATGTGATTTGGTGTTGGCACTAGTTTTCTGTAAGGACATTACAATTCACTTTCCTTTGTGTGTCTGGGTTTATGTGAATCTCTGTCCATGTCTTTGCAGCTTATTGCCAGGCTGTAGTTTTACGAAGCAAATGACATGCTGCTTGGTCTGTAGGTGCAAATTATTGTTGTGAATAGATCTAGAAAATTTGTACTCGGTGCACTTGCGCTGCATGTCGAAGTGCAATGAAGAATGCTTTTAAATGAAGAGTAGAAAGTAGAAACCATGGTGTATGTTAGCTTGTTTACCTGCTTATTCCTCACAGATGGGTTTAACACAAGTGCACATTAAAGATCTAGACTAGACTACCTCTTGAGTTTTCTCTGTTCTAATTGTGCTGATTTACTGGATCATTGGTGTATATTGATTGTAGGCTCATCAGTGCCATCAGGATTTGTTCTATGGATCATGAGAGAGATGCCTCATCGGCAGGTAGTTGAAAGGCCCACAGAATCGAGGGTGGTTACTTTGTTCAGGGAAAGACCATCAACTACGCAGGATCCACAGTGGAGGACAGCTGTCACATCCTCAAACAAGGTACTCCAGCTCAAGTGAACTTATCAATTCTAGGGTTGAATATGCTCCTCAAGCACTGATGGCACTGCATCAGGATCTGCTAGATATATAAAAATCTCTCTATGTAGGCCCTCAAGTCAAGCCCAATTTAACCTGAAGACAAACCATCGACAGTGATACTTTTTATTCTGCTTGTGTGCTGGGACTTACCAACACGTCAGGGTCGCACTGACATCTGCTGGCATTGTGATAACTGTTGGGTACAAGATGAATCTGTAATTCCTACTTGAAGGCAACATTGGATAGGTGACGGAATTAGTTGTGGCTGTACCATACTTCTAAGCTCTCGGCCAAAGGGTGCACGTTATGAGCTGATGCATTAGAACTGAGGTTGGGGTAATGTTTGAAGAATTAACAAATGTAAATATCTTTGGCAGTTAGTGTCCCCTTTTAGATTTACCATACTCTTCCCTTTCGTTATATGTACCTTGTTTTATTTAGTGCTTCATCTAATTTACCATAGAAGGGCCATGTGTTCAACAGATCTTAATTACCTGCAGACACACTGAGTCACTGAGAAATTGTAACATAATTCTTTTTTTATAATGAAAACTGTAACATACTCTGACTAGCTGTAAAATGGGCGAATCCTGCTGCTTTGTGTTATGTATTTTTACTTCCTCCACTCAGCAGTCAGAAGAGACCCCCTTCATATTGAAAATACGTAGATCAGTATTGTTAGTTTGTTACCCCCTTCACATTGAGAATACGTAGATCAGTATTGTTACATACGATGAGAAGCTATTTAGCAGTTCATATTTGGACCATCCATTTCAAATTATAAGGTGTTTTGGCTCTTTTAGATTCATGGTTTTTCCTGTACACTTAGATATATACTGTGTCTAGATGTATAGTAAAAAAATGTATCTAAAGAGCGAAAACGTATTATAGTTTTGAATATAGGGAGTACAGAAATTATTTAGGACTCCCTTTGAACCCACCGCGTGACTCGATGTTCACAGCGTCTCTTGCTGTCCTACGGCATTCAACGTCCCGCGACTTGCTGTCCCGCGACATTGACTCGGTGTCGTGTGGCGTCACCCGGCGCAGTGGTGCTCTGCAGCTGGTCGTAGCTCTTGGTGTCCTGCCGTGGTCCAGGCGACGCTTGGTGTTCCCATAGGGCCCGTTGTAGCACTAGCACTACTTTAGAAGTACTTCAACGCGAATAGTATTTTTCTCTCACAAAAAATCAACATAAGCATTAGCATAAGTCAAATTGCAATATTGCTATGTTGTGGTGTCACTCGGTGCCTCTTGACAATCACTTGGGCACATGCCGCTCTCAACATCCCGTGTTGTTTCTCTCTAGCTCACTGTGGCACTCGGGTGCCCTGCCGTGGTCTATGCCGACACACGATGTTCCCACAACTCCCCTGGGTATACTCTAGTGTCAGTGCCTCTTGACAATCTCTTGGCCACATCGTAGCTGTTGACATCCCGCGGTGGTGCTCCATAGCTTGCCATAGCACTCGGCATCCTGTCGTGGTCTATGGCGACACTTGATGTTCCCACAACGTCCCTCACTGTATTATGGTGTCACTCAGTGTCTCTCGACAATCACTAGGGCACATTGCCATTGACAATGTCGCCAAGCATCTCATTATATCAGATAAGTCACTTCCATAACTATTTTGTGTATACACACACACACATGGGAGTAGAAATGATTTTTCATGTATATAATTCTTTGACTTTCTACTAAGTTGGCATGGCCTTAGCAGTTAAGGTGGCTACACCTATCAGGTGCACTCTGGTGCTTTGTTGCTTTACCCTCTACGATTTTTAAGTACCCCATGACATATGTTCTAAGCGAGAAGCTTTGTTCACGACGACGGCTTACACCAAAACTCTACGGGCTAGCCCCTAGGTTTTAAGACTATGGTCTAGTCGACAACGTAAGCCACACAATGAACAACTCACAACGGAAAACGATCATCAATAAGAGAAAACAATAAACTTAAAATATGCTTTACCTATTTTTGTGACACGTGTTTTGCGTAATAAGTTTTGCTCGTGACAATGGGTTATGCTAAGTTTTGCTCGTGACAATGGGTTATGCTATGAACCCAACGCTATATAGGGCATAGCCTAATGTTAGCTCCTTAGGCATGGGGTTGTGGTCTAGTAGGCAAAGTGCATAACAATCTCACAAAGGGAAATATGCCTTTGTATATTTTATCTTATTTAGAATACCGCATAAGTGCCCACTAATCTTTTTGTCCTCACATTTTATCCTATACTACTTCGATAACTATAGTCGGTCACGACATCGCCGCCATTGTCACCGGCTGGACCACTCAAGCATGTCGCCACCGGCAACGGCACCAACCTCGACCACTCGGGCACACCGTTGTTAGGTTCACCCGAGTCGGTCATTTCAATGCCAGCAATGTCGTCAGCCATAACCACTTGGGCATTGACGCCGCTGGGCTCATCCGATGAGCCAGTCACACCACCACTGACAATGTCGTCGACCATGACCACTCGGGCACACTGTCGTAGGGTGCACCTAGGTCTATCATGCCACCGGCGACAATGTCACAAGATTGACTGTTCAAGTATGCACTGTTCAAGTGTGTTGTGATTGGTCCGAAGGCTAGGCCTGTGACCCTAATCAGCACGGCCTAGTGTCTACGGGCCGGGCTTTCTCCGGTCCGGCACCGATTGGCCAACTATACATCTAAGGGCATGTTTGGATTCACTCTTCTAAAATTTAGACCTCTAAACTTTAGAGCTAAAGTCTTCAAACAGGTGGTTTAAATTTAACTATAAAGTTTGACCCACCTCACAAAAACTGAGAAGCGCTCTAAAAATTTTTAGAGGAGGGGACGCAAATAGACCTAACAGAGAGAGGGCGACGAAATGGACCCTGTATTTCTCGATCCCATGCTCGCACTCGCGTGACCCCCTATTTTCTCATCTCAAAGTGTGAACCACGCCTTCCCCTTTGCATGCACCTATGCAAGTATTGTAACCACCAAACACAACCATTTACTCTTCCACGTGGCCTCCTATAGCTCACATAAACATCTACTATTTCCTCGTCTTAATAGTATTATTATACATAATCCATAATTCTAGATCTCCAGCATTCCATATAACCGCCGGTCTATGCAACCACCCTCCCCCTCCCCCTGTCCCTGTCTCCCTCGCGGCACTGCAGCAAGCCATGGGCGTGAGCACCACTGACCTGTCCGCGCCATCCCACTCCGTCAATCTGCCCGGCTGCATGGCCTCCTCCTCGTCCCCTTCCTCCGTTGTTGCCCCGTGGCCGCGTTCAGGCAAGCACCGCGGCGCGGCCGCCGTGGTCCGCCGCGCCCAGCTCGTCCTATCGCGCGACGTCGGGTGGTGCGGGCAACGCGCGTGGCGGAAGCTGCTCAGGCGGCTGGCGCAGGAGACCAAGTGCATCTGCAGCTCCCCGACGGCGGCCACGGGCAGGCCCATCACGTTCGGCTACGACGCCGCCAGCTACGCCAAGAACTTCGACGACGGGCGCAGCCCCGCGCGCGCCGCCCCCGTCGTCGTCGCCGCCGCCAATGCGGCGGATAAGCCGAGCGGCAATTGACCCGATCGACGTTCTTCTCTCCCCCTCGTCGATCCCCTTCCGATCTTCTTTTTTTGTTTCTCTTTAATTGTTTTTCTCCATGCTTTTATTTCCTTCTCTTTCTAGCGCCTCCCTGGTGATGGTGATATTGGTGTTGTAATGGCCTCATCAATACCCCACACATATTTAGTAATTTGTACATAGCTTTCGAGATAACACGAGTGGAGTTTTGCCAAATGCACATAGGGCAATGTACCATCCCTGAATGACTGAATCTCATCTCTTGCATTGCAGCATTGGTAAGAAATTTCAATCAGAATTCAGGTATTGCAGGGATCGGAGCCATTTTCTGCCCAATCTTTCAAATGTCCTTGATTTCTGAATTCAAGATTACGGCAGAGAAACAATTACGCAGGCACTATACTCGAGGATAGTGGTCTGTTAACTCATCTGGATATTTGAGATATTTGATTGTTTCATTGATCGGTTGGCAGTTAACCGTCAGCGCTAACTTGCCAAAGAAAGAAGATCTTTTTAAAGAAAAGGAAACGACCCAGGGTGGTGCAGATCAAACAACTCATGGAAGGACCATGCAATACAGGACAAAAGGCAAAAGTGGACGGAATTTATTGGTCTTGATCTTAGGTTGGGGCGTAGGGCCATATTAAATTTATTTTCTTTCAATGTGCCTGCCTGGTTAAGTACTGGCAACATTTCTCAGATTCAGTGAAATGCTTCCCGGCAAATCAGGGCGTGTTGGAAGTGGAACGCGAGACTTTCTTTCTTTCTTTTTGCTTGATGAATATCGTCACAATTCATCATTACATTGTCCACACAATTATTTTCCTGCGATCCTTGTGTTCCTAACAGCCATGGAATGCCGATGGAAACTCTTTGCTTGTTGTCTTGTATATAGGGTTCTTGCTTGATTCGTTGTCGCTAGCTCCTCATTGGCTTTGCCCCTACACACTACACGGCGGTTGCTTCCTGCAAGAACAAGGCCATTTGGTAATACTAGTATATTGCTCGTGCTAATATTACGGTAACATCTAGAAAAAAAATAAATCATAAAACTACATTTAGATAGCAAGTCAGATATGCAGCTCCATGTTGCTTCTGAATACTGGCTTAATAGTAATATAACTACGGTACTGATACTTCCAAAAGAAAACTATTGCCTAGAGTAGGAATCTGTAAAGACTTGAAAGCAACCAGCAAACACTAATTCCTTCAGATTCGAACCATGTACAGGAATGAGCCCCTTCACAAACTTGTCACACACACATTGTATTCCAGACATTGACAAAACCTCTAGATGATTATTCTTCTATAGAGCAAGAAGAATCAGTATAGCATCCACGTTTGTGCAGTCATCTATATACAAGTTCTCTAAGAACTTAATGTCAATTCCAGATGAAGTGAGAAGAGAACACTGGCATAGATTTAGGGAACAACCTGGTAGCTCTCAACTTGCAAATTTAGGGGCCAGCTTGATAGCTCTCTCTTTTGCTGTTTGTTTTCGATGTGACTCTATAGAAGCAGAAACGGATCCTGAGTTGTGCTGAATCTCTTTGGAATCCACAGGATCGAAATCTGGCTCGTCCTCACTTGAGCTCAGAGATGATAGACTATCTTCTACAACCATCTTGACCCTAAACATTTTGTATAACAATGGCTAACTAAGTTGATTCAGACATAATAACCTCGCTGATTCAACAAAGGAACCCCACTGAAGCTATTATCAGTTTTCACTCAGATAGTGAAAGAGCAACACCAGTGTTCCTTAATAAGGAGCCCACCCATTCAAAATTTCTGTCATCAAACAAAAACTCTGGAGTCACTAATGCATTCAGGGTCTATTTTTATCAAGTGAGTTATTCTCAAATTCTCATACCCAAGCACTAATTTGGAGCAAGGGGAAAGAAAATACCTCACTGCAGTTTGACACTGCATGCAACAAGAAAAGGTAGTATCATCGCCACTGGAATATGAACCTGGGCAATATTGAGAAAATAGCAGCAGTGAGCTTTTGTTCTTGTATAAACAATGAAATTGCAAATGTAAAATGGGTTATAAAATAAAATGCAAACTATATCATATAAATATAATTTAGCCCCTTCTTTTTGGAAAGGGCATAGCAAGTTATTTTCATGTGCATCCCTAAAATATTGTTAGCAAAAAAAAAATCATACTATGCTCAAGTTATTACCTTGCGGCTGCAATCTCAAGCCAAACAGTTAAGCATGAGAGAGGAGTTACATCTGGAAACCATGAAGCAATCATGGCAAGCAAAGACCAATGCATTTATTTTGCTTTAATCAGGAGTGCCTCTCTAGTTTTTTTTTTTTTTTTTGCTTTTCACAGACTCCAAGAATGCAGAAAAGTTCCATGGAATTATTGCCATCAACAGTAGCAAAAGATGAATCACTGCTTCCTGGAGGTATATTACCAGATGCTTTCCTTCGAAGTGGCATCATATTTTTCATAGTAGTTAGTATGTGAGTCCTCAATCTTGAATCCCTGATCTCTTTGGCTGCCTGAACAGTGAACACAACAACGACAGGGATAAATTAGTTCATGGTATTCGCAACAAGTTATCATCAGAAACCCTAAAATACAAAGCTTAAAAAATTACCACTTCATAACAACTTCAATAGGAGATCCAGCTATATGAGCTTCTGTTAAAAAACTAACCTGCCAAAAGGCACAATTACAATCAGTGTGTGGACTTATCTAAATAACAAAAAACCTAAATAACATACCATATGAAATTATGAACGAAAATACAAACTAAACTGTTATGGATTATATATCACTATATCAGTAGCTGTAATTAGTAACACACCGATAGAAATTATTAGCATCACATATCTACAAGACAAAATTACCAGCAATTTTGATATTGCTAAACTGAGCGGAAGGTGCATAGCAACATTACCTACTTGACTCTGCCAGTAGATTTACCAAGCTCTCCAATTGCTTCTGCTGGATTCGTAAGTCCAGGTACCAATGCAGACACAAAAACAAGTTAGTTCCTCCCTAACCCTCCATCTCTACAGAGGAAACCAACAAACCGAGACCAACTGCAGGGGCGGATCCGATAACTTTTACAGCAAAACCGAATTTTGCAGGCAAGATACATGTACATGCTTGTAATTAGATCAGATCCGAGTACACGAAATAACTTAAGCTAGGGTTTGGGTCCTCGGCATCGCACAACTGGGAGAACATATAAGGGATGGGCATACCTATTGGTTGGTCGTCGCTGACGAAGGGTCCGGCGAAGACATGGCGAAGGGCCCGACGAAAACCTGGGAAACTGTCGTTCGATGCCGAGGGCGGCGGGGGCGACCGGAGCGGGCGGCGCGCCGGCTTCGAGATGGCAACGAGCATCGAGCGCATGGAGCCACAGGCGGGCCGGACGGGACGGCCTGTCGTCGCCGTGCGTTCTAGGTCCCGGCCCTACCTCCGCCCCCGCCTCCATCTCCGCCGCGATGCAGCGGCCTCAGACCCAGCCCACATCGCGGGGCCAGCCACGAAGCCGGCCAGGGGGAGAGGCGCTGATGTGGCTGCACTATGAGGGGCTCGAGAAAGTGGAGAGCGCAGCGGAGATATCGGCGACGCGCACGAGGGAGCAGGGTGCGGGGGTGAGAAGCCTGTCATCCCACATTGAATTGTGGCCATCGGATTTGGTTAAGGTGTTTGATTAACCCTTGATTTTAATGGTGCTGAATTCGTGTGTGTATTTTTCTGGGTGCGCAATGGTTGGAGGCTCCCAGCGGGGGATGTTTTCATGGGGGGACCTAGTATAATTTTGACTGGTCCATTATAGTAGAGATGCAGGTTGATAGGTGCTACACAAGCTTCAGCCGCTAAAGACTGGGCTCCATACCAAAAGCGAGGCAAAGTTGAGCGATTTGAGGCCTCCCCGGTTGGGCGGCGGTTGCCCTCTCCCGCCGCAAAAGGTAGAAGCTTCCTTCTCGTCAGGGCTGGCCTCTCCGCTGATTTTTTTTGTTTTTTTTTTTGGCTTTTTTTTGAAAGTTTGTCACAAATATACCCTTGGACGTATGTTTTCAAAATCTGGACCCTCAGCTCAGCGTCGTAGTAATTGACGCCGAGATTACACGTCACGGCGCCATAGTAATTGGCGTCGAGCTTCCTCGGCCACGTTGGCGTCGGCGCAGACATGGCGGTAACATGGCAGCCACCTCGGCGCTAGGCTCATTGGCGCCGAGCTTGACGCCGGGGTTATTGGCGCCAAGATCTATGGCGCCGAGGTGGTGTTTTACCTTACCGCCCAACCTTCCTGGCCGAGGCTTCTTCCCCTTCTTTCTCCTCACTCTCAGGTTTTTTCTCTCCCTACTTCGCCCTACCTCACGAATCGGCATATTGGACCTTGGAAAGTTTGATTTGATCCGTAGATCTTCGAGAGCAAGGTAGTCTCCATGACTTGCTAGTTATATGGTTTATTCATGAACAATGTTGTCTACTGTTAGACTTTTCGTTGTGTTGTCATGTAATGCACTTTAAGTATGGGCATACTTAGGTCATATACTGCGTTATTTAGTTTATCGGCATGTACTTATAGTATTATTATGTTGTTTAATGTGTTATAGTATTGGACTTTTCATTATGTTGTTGTTTTCATTATCTGTGGTCATAATATTTAGTTTAATATCGCGGACGTAGTGAAATGAGATCACGTACTGCAAATAAAACATAACAAAGTAGAGCATTATATAATTCAACACGCACAACACATGAAATGGCATGTGAGAACATGTAACAAACTAGGGTAAAGAGGTCCTGAACTAAACCTAACATGTCTTAGGTAATTGAAGCGAACAATAAGCACATGAAATGACATGTGAGAACATGTACCAAACAATGGTACATAGTTCCTTCGACTGAAACTAACATGCCTTAGGTAATTAAACCAAACAATAAACGTATGGATGTGCCATGTGAATAAGATAGGGTCGTCCTAGTAGTGTGGCCACATAGCAAATTGTGTTACACCT